GAAAGATCTAAGTGCCCTTGATCTCCCACACAACAACGCTCTTGTCATCAACATTCAAATCGCTCAGGCCATGGTCGACCTAATCCATGCAGACGAGGGCAGTGCAGCCAACATCCTACAATTGACAGTTATCCAACAGATGGGCTTAGAGGCAAAGATCAATAAATCAGCCAAGTCGCTAACTGGCTTCAATGGAGCAACAACGGTTACCGTAGGCACGATAGAGCTCGACGTCTACACCCCACCTGTAGTCAACTCGCAAACGTTCATGGTCATTGATGAAGTCTCACCCTACAATGGCATTAAGTGCCGCGAAGAAGTCCACTGAGTAGGGAGATCGGCAAACCAAGCGGGCGGGCCAAAGAAACGATGGATTTAGCAACAAGAATAAGGACAAGCGTAGGTCACACCCACAAGAGGACGCTAAGGCAGGAGAGAACTACGATCAGACAATGGCGAGGAAATGCTCAGCTCAAGGGCTGAAGAAAGGCAAGCAAACATGGTTCCTCCCTGTGAATCAAGCAGATCTAAAAGGAGTAGAACAAGCAGATGAGAAAGCAGATCCCGTTCATGACGGCCGAGCATGCCAAAAAGGAAAGGGAGTAACTACTCCCCAATAGCAATCAAAGAATCAGGACCAAGTCGAGGGAATCCGTCCGGAGGTCTATCCTGAAGAAGGATGGAAGCCCGAGGAGGACGTTAGAACTACACCAAGTTCACTATCCCTATACATCAAATCCTAGCCCAAGTGAAAAACAAACCTTGGGTAAGAAGACCGCCACCCTTGAAAGGAGATCCAGACAGGAGGGATACTAGCAAATACTGTGCCGTCCATGGGACGCACGGACACACTACGAACAACTGCTTCGCTTGGAAAGCACACCTCGAAGAACTCGTGAGGGAAGGTCACTGCACAGAATTCATCGCTAAGCAGGCCATCCAACAGATAGAGGACCGCGACACAGCCAAGGAGCCGCCCCAAAAGGTCACAAGGATTAACACAATCCTAGCCGACTCCGAGGAATCTGGGTTGACCAGCAAGGAAAAAAAAAGGAAGATCAAGCAAGCCACTATGATCTTCCAAGTCTCAACCGACCTTCCGCTAGCAGAAGACGATCCTGTAATCGGCTTCCAATAAAGATAACTTTCCACTGCTGAGAATTGACCAGCTCGTTGATTCAACTTCCGGCAATCAACTGCTAAGCTTCATGGACGCCTACTCCGGTTACAACCAGATCATGATGCATGAAGACGACAAGGCAAAGACC